AACCAACCGGGGAAGTGTAGCACATCGGTTGGCCTGGCCAATACCCGTATGGTGGAGGTGGGACCGGGTACGGGTACTGGGCGGGATACATCATCGGCTGCTGCTGGTATGGCAGACCGGGTGGTGGGTATCCCGGTTGTATGTAATTTACCGGCTGCTGGGCGGCCGGGTATGCATTTGACGGATGCGGTGGTGAAAGGTTGAGGTTGAGGTCCATCGTCTGACCCTGCTGTTGGGTAGCATAGTGGTCGGAGGAGCTCGCCGCATCCGCCTGGTCGTCGGCGAAGTTGTTGTGTGCCCACGGATACATGTTGGTATGGTGATCGGGTGCTCGTCAAGACGTTGGCTTGTTGCACGGATCCCCACAGACGACGCCAAAATGATACTGCTAATTAGGTGTAAGCAATATAAAATAACACGAGACCAATTAAAGCAAGTAAAATCTTTATTGACCACGGTAAAGGCCCTAAGTACAATCTACTTGGTTGCTCTGAGTACCGACTGAGTGCGGTCGGGATTCTCTAATAACAACCTATCGATCGTCCAAAAGTCCTCTACACTGTAGCTACTGTGGGCATTTATAGCCGCTGTGCCGAAGACAAGATCCCAGCTGCTCGGCATGTCTTCCACGTAGCCACCACGTGCCATCCTCCTGGGTGCCCTGCCTGTCGATGTAAAGAGCCGCCACGTGTCCTTCGTCAGCTCTTTCGCCAAAGGGCTACCGCTCGGTGGTCGACACCGCCGCTCGGGTAACTCCGGTCGGTCTCCGACCGGGTTCTTTTCATGGAGCCCGACCTGTTACCTGCAGAGACAAGGAGAAAAAGACAAAAGGCTCCTCGGTCGTGGTGAAGCTATGTCGGTCGGGATATTCCCTACCAATAGGCATAATTTAGAAGTACCTCTAAGATATCTAAAAATCCATTTAACAGCCATCCAATGTTCCTTGCCAGGATTAGAAAGGAACCTACTCACAACTCCAACTGCATGAGCAATATCTGGCCTTATACATACCATAGCATACATCAAACTGCCAACTGCAGAATTATAAGGGACTTGTTGCATACTTGCCTTTTCTTCCTCTGTAGAAGGACTTTGCTTACTACTTAATTTAAAGTGATTAGCAAGAGGAGAACTAACCGCTTTAGCATTGTCCATGTTAAACCTACAAAGTATTTTCTCAATGTACTTCTCTTGAGACAACCACAACTTTTTGGCGTTCCTGTCTTGTGTAATTCTTATCCCAAGAATCTGTTTTGCTGGCCCCAAGTCTTTCATAGCAAAAGACTTGCTCAACTGTTCCTTTAGTTGATTAATTCTAGAAGCACTCTTGCCGAAGATCAACATATCATCAACGTACAACAGAAGCATAATAAAATCATCATCAGAGAATTTCTGAAAGAACACACAATGGTCAGAAGTAGTCTTCATGTAACCTTGTTGCGCCATAACTGACTCAAACTTCTTGTACCATTGCCTTGGTGCCTGTTTTAAGCCATATAGGCTCTTTTTTAGCTTACAGACATAGTCCTCTTTTCCCTTGACTTCAAAACCCTCTGGCTGCTCCATGTATATTTCTTCATCTAAATCACCATGAAGAAAAGCAGTTTTTACATCCATTTGCTCAATTTCTAAATCTAGGCTGGCTGCTAGTCCAAGAACAACACGAATGGAAGACATCTTAACCACTGGAGAAAATATCTCATCAAAGTCAATACCTTTTCTCTGGTTGAATCCCTTGACAACTAGTCTAGCTTTGTACCGTGGCCGTGAAGAGTGTTCTTCCTGCTTTACTCTGTACACCCACTTGTTTGTCAAAGCTCTCTTACCTTTAGGTAGCTTTACTAACTCAAAGGTATTATTCTCATACAAGGATTTCATCTCAGGCTTCAATCCACTTTTCCTTGTGTTCATCCTCCACAGCTTCTGCATAACATTCTGGTTCACCATTATCAACAAAATTAATTTCATAAATATCAGAAGAGTACCTTGTGGAAGGCTGTCTAACTCTTGAACTTCTTCGAAGCTGAGGTGGAGTTGAAGCTTCTGGAACTGGGAGTTCATCATCATTAATGGAAGCATCAGTAACATCTTGCTGCTCAATTTGGTCCTCCTCTCCAACCTCTTCAGGAACCACTGTTGGAGGTACTATCTCAGTATCAACTGAATCACCATTATGAGATCCCAATTCTTTAACTCGGTCAATATCCTCTATGGTTTGATTCTCCACGAACACAACATCTCGGCTTCTCACAAGCTTCTTTTCAGCCGGATCATAAAATCTGTAGCCAAAGTCATCTAGACCATAGCCAATAAACACACACTGTCGTGTCTTAACATCAAGTTTCGATCTTTCATCTTTCGGAATGTGCACAAATGCTTTGCACCCGAAGACACGTAGATAATCATAGGAAACATCATTTCCTGTCCATACCCGATTTGGTATGTCAAACCTTAAAGGAGCACATGGTGAGAGATTCAACACATGTGCAACATTACTTAGTGCCTCAGCCCAGAATGTCTTTGGTAACTTTGCATGTGACAACAAACATCTAACTCTCTCAATCAAAGTCCTGTTCATCCTCTCAGCAACACCATTTAACTGAGGAGTCTTTGGTGGTGTTTTCTTATGGCGAATACCCTGCTCTACGCAATACCTATTGAGTGGCCCAATATACTCTCCTCCATTATCCGACTTTATGCATTTTAGCTTCTTCCCAGTTTGTCTCTCAACTAGGGCATGAAATTGCTTGAATATGTCCACAACTTGACTTTTATGCCTCAAAGAATAAACCCATAATTTCCTTGAGCAGTCATCAATGAAGGTAACAAAATAGCGAGCACCACCAAGTGACCTAGTTTTGAAAGGTCCACACACATCAGAGTGTATCAATTCCAATACCTCTGGTTTCTTCTTAGTCTCAGCAGAACTTTTAAAGGATACTCTGTTCTGCTTCCCTGCTAGACAATGAGCACACCTCTTCAAATGAACATTGTTCAACCCAACTAAGCTCTTTTTCTGACCAGCATGGACATCCTCTCCTCAGATATATGTGCAAGCCTCTTATGCCATATATCATTCGTATCGTCGTTCTCAACCGTATTGACAATATTTCCTGAGATCTTGGCCTATAAAACATTAAGTGTAGAACACTTTGTGCCTCGAGCCACAACTAGAGAACCTCTTGTGAGTTTCCATTGGCCATTTTGGAAAGTATTACAATACCCTTCATCATCTAATTTTCCAGCAGAAATTAAATTATACCTGATATCTGGAACATGCTTCACATTTTTCAGAAGCAACTTGGTGCCATTGTTGGTTTCTAACTGAACATCGCCAACACCAACAATCTTTGCATTACCATCATTGCCCATTTTCACAACTCCAAAATCACCTGTTCCATAACTAACAAAAAAATCATTTCGAGCTGTAGCATGAATGGATGCACACTATCAATTACCCAGTTTGTATCATGACTTGCCAAATTAATGGCATCTGTGTCACCATCATAGAAGATAAGAAAATCATGTTCAACTGTAGCAGCTACACTATCATCATCACTACCATTATTCTTTTCAGAGTCTTTATTTTTCTGATTTTCTTTCTTTCGTAGTCGGCAAAATTTCTTAATATGCCCCTTTTTGTGACAATGGTAACATTCAACATTAGCAAATTTATTAGATTTACCTCTACTGTTATCTCTGTTTTTATCATTACTCCTTGGACCCTTGCTTTGACTTCTCCCCCTATTTGTTGTAGCCAAGACCTCTGAATGTTGAGAGGAAGTACCTTGTGACCTTCGTTTCATCTCTTCATTCAGGACACCACTTTTAACAAGTTCCATTGTTACAACACCGTTAGGAGCAGAATTAGTCAAAGAAATCTTTAAAGTTTCCCAAGAATCTGGCAATGATGCTAGTACCATAAGAGCAAGGACCTCATCATCAAAATTAACTCACATACCTGACAATTGATCAACAATCCCTTGAAATTCATTCAAGTGATCCGCAACAGAACTACCCTCGTTATATCTCAACTGCACCAATTTTGTGAGATAAAACAATTTGTTGTTGCCAGTCTTTGAAGCATATAAATCTTCAAGTTTACTCCACAGTGTCCTTGCGTGGGTTTCACTACAAATATGATTATACACATTATCTTCAACAAATTGCCGAATAAAACCACATACCTGTTCATGCTCAAAGGCCCACTCTTCATCTGATTTATTTTCAGGTTTCTGGGTAGCAAACACGGGTAAATGCAACTTCATCACATATAGTAAATCTTTTATCTTATTTCTCCATATGTGATAATTTGTGCCATTCAAACTTGCAATTCTATTGAACTTTCCTTCCATAGCTCCGCACTTGAACAAGGCTCTGATACCAGTTGTTGGGAAGAAAGCTCGCAAGAATATATAATTAGCACAATGAAAATAAATAAACGGCACCAAGAAAACACCAAGAATTTTAACATGGAAAAACCTCCTCAAGGCAAGGAGTAAAAAACCACGGGCACAAGCCAGTAAACCTTCCACTATATAGATAATGGGTACAACAGAGGTGGCTTCTCTAATTCAACGATTAGAGGCAACACAAAATACAAGAGAAAATAACATACCCCGAGGCACAATAATTTCTACGAAATCCACCAACTTCTTCTCGGCTAATTTTCTCACACTTGTATATCTCAACAAATTTTCTCTCCTCTCTTTTTCTTCTTCTTGAACTCTCTCATGTCCAAGGTAGCCAAATCCATGACCTTTATATAGGCTTTACAAAGCCAACTCTTTTGTCTTTTCATTTGCCCACTTTAATCTCCCATTAAGTGGACATGAATGAAGCCATTAATTAAAAACCTTTCACTTCATCTTCCAAGCTTAATTGTTAAGCTTTTGGTCACCACCCTACCCACATTGGTGGGACCATCTAGCAACATTTTTCACATGGATTCTTCACACCTCATCCTGAATATATATAGAATGATATAATAATGATATAATAATGATAAAATAAAAGTATCAAGCATTGTACTTCACTGACCGACTCTCAGCCTCGCGCCGCCTAGAGCCAGAGTAGCAAGCTTTTCCGACGACAAAAAACAGAATAAAAATTTACAGAGTATTACCAATACGTCGGGAAAGGTTAACAAAAATTATTGAAAATGGAAAATTCGTACGAGATTATCCCTACGTCTGCAAAAATCTCTGCTCTGAATTGCATTGATCTCTCCAGCCCTGATATTAAAACCCCAGTCGCTCTCCTCAAACAGGCACTCTCCCTCTCTTTCTCTATGTGTGTAATGATTTGTA